GGGGAGGGGGGGGGGAACCGGTTGTTTCCCCCTTCCGGGCCCGCTGCGCCTCCCGCCCCGCCTCCTCTGCCGGAGCACCGTGTGGCCCTCAGCCTGAGCCCCCCCGACAATTAAATTACCGCGTCAGCCTCCTGCCAGTGAGCAGGCCTCACAGCGCCAGGCGCAACGCGGCCATTCGGTGCCGGGTTCTGGGCCGCTGAGGTAAATGACTGTTCGGCCGCTGCCTGCGCTCCCCGGGGGGCACCCGTTATCACTCGCAGCCTTCCCCTTTCCCTCCTTGTAGGTTACGCGTAGGTAATTCCGCTTTACTGGTGGCACTGAAAGGCCACAAGAAACTGCCTTAAGTGAGAAGCGAGGAGGTTTTAAGCACAGGTGGTGTGCAGGCACGGAGGGCAGGCCGCGTGCCACGGGGATCAGGCCTGCGGGTGTGCTGCTGTGGGAGAGACAGCCTGGGAGGAGGCCCCTGCTGCTTACAGGGGAAGGGCATTAGGTGGTACATATGTTGACTCCAGATTTACTGATGGAAAAATCAGGGAGCTCACAGCAAACGTTTTTCAGCTAAAAATAGTGGTTTATTTTTAGTCCTAAAACTGATATTAGTACATGATGCAGAATAGCCCCATGTGCTTCCTTCAGCCTAAAAAACTGCTCTTGGCTGTTATGTGCTATTGAAGGTATAACCATTTTCAGCTGAAACAATTTCAATCCAATCGTAATTTCAGCCACAGTCCATGAAGCTTTCTCCCTCCTCTTCTAGGTGAATAAATACTTGTCATTCTGCACTGAACCCCAGCCAAAAACAGTGCAACAGTGAACACAAGTGATTCTTCTGAACTAATGGGTTGAAAGCCCGTAATTCTTGGGGCTTATTTTTAGCTGAGAGCAACATAAGACTACTTCACCCAAAAATCTTAGAATGAAATTTCTCATGTAGGAGGCTGGTGTGTAAAAGCAAAGCTCTCTAGCAAAGGGCTGGTCTCTGATAAGCTGCATTTGATCCCCCTGGTTGTTGTCACACAGCTTAAGCCAATACTAATAAGGGTATGGGGAGGGAGAGAGGCAGCCCTGAGTTGCAAGCTGTCAGTGAGAACTTCCAACTTGACTGCAGAAGTGGCTGTGCCTTGTTACGCTACTTATCAAATGTGAGTTTGAGCACTCAAAAATACTTGCACATGCTCCAAGACAAGCTGTATCTGAGATGGGAGAAGTTTAGCACTTGTGGAAATTTTTTTATCCCAGTTCACACAAACATGATATTATTGAGACAAAAAAATTCAAGAAGAGGTGTGTCTGAAACATGCCTCATCTGCAGAACTTGGGCATTTTTTTTTTAAATACCTCAAGGAAACTCAGGTTACTTTTTTTTTTTTGGTAATAGCAGATGCATCTAAAATCCTCCACAACACTCATTCAAGCAGAACAGGGAGACTGTAATGAAAACTCAAGACTGTACCTGTGCGGTTAAATTCCTGCATGGTTCAATTCCAGGACTTTAGCTGATACTGTGTAGGTGTGAAATCACCCCAGCAGCTGGTCTGGGTACCAAGGGCACGATGTATTTGAGAGCCCTGGATTACAGTGCCAATTCATCCTCACTATTAAAAATCCACGCGCAGGGAAGTGGCATCCCTAACAAACTAAAAACCTTCCCTATTGACCCATTGTTTTCACCCATCCTGACTTGGAAGTGAGAGCCTGCTTCCCTCAGTATGGTACAGTAGTGGAGCTACAAACATGGAGAACAGCTTTGAAATGGTAAATAATGGTCACAAAGCAGCCCAGAAGATGTGGCAGAATCTGTCATGTTTCTCTTCACCACCCCCACTTTTTGTCATTTGGAAAAGTGGCTCCCCTGTTTGTCAAAATATCAGGGATTTTGTCTGAGAAGGGTCAGTGTCTTCTTGGCAGCCTCTGTTTTCCATGTCCTCATTTGTCACATCCCTAAAAATAATAAAAACAACAGACAAGGCAGGCAGGTGAACATCCAACTGTAGTTTTTAAAGGCAGTCACTTCAATGCATCTGTCACCTCAGATGGCTTGTGCTGAAAGACAGACTACCACAAATACACTGCTACTTCTGAAACACCCAATTATTTTAACATGTCTTTCCCACATGTGGCAAGCTGAGTTTGAAAGGCAACAATAAAGCACTCCGGTTACTCCAATCCATCTTGCAAGGGATTTATTTGGATGCTCCCATAAGGTTAAAATTTTATTTGGTCACCTTAATCCTCACAGATAAAACCTGAGCCCCAAGCCAGGAAGAACCTGATCATACTGTTTCCCTTTCTCTCCTGTGTTTACACTGAGCTTTGTAGGCAAGACTTCCTGCCATCACACACTGTCCCTAGCGGCTAGTGACAGTGGCTGCTGTAACAGAAGCATCATTGAGAAACACACTCCGATCTGATCCGAGTATCCAGACAGGCTGAACCCATCCTCAGTGCAGGCTGAAGTACTAGTGGCTCCTCTACTATATGTCTCCTACTCTGGGAAACTTTAAACAAAAACCCTCCAGGGAGTTCCCGTTCTAGGAGATGAGTGACTTGAGGCAAATCTTCGTCCATTCTGGGAGAGACCCATAAACACGACAGGTTTTTCATCAAACTTCTCTACTTGCAATCACAAACAGACTTAGAGTGACTTGGAGCATGTCAGCAGTGCGATTCCGACATTGATGTACCAGCAGGTATCCGTAAAGAGAGTTGGGATTGCCAGGACCTTTAAGAGCCACCTGTGGTGACATCAGGCATAAAAGGAGGCCAGAGCATCAACGGTTGTGATATATTAATTATGGGTAAATACAATGAAGTATTGTCAGCCAGTAAGTATTAGATGGGAGACTAGCTAGACAATGTCTGTTTAGTACTTCTGCATAACCTAATGACATTGCTATTCAGTCCAATAGTTGCCAGTGAAACAGAACAATTTAGAAAGCAGTTTACCAATGTCAATTTTTGCAAAGCTAATTTCAAAACGCACATTGCTGCAACTTCAAAATAAATGTACATCCAAAAGCACTTACTGTTCATTGCACTGAATAAAGGCCCCAACTAACAAAACCTATTTGAACTGAACAAAGCTACCACAGACACACTGCTCATTTCCTTATTGAAACTTGTTAGCTGGAGTTGACTCAAATCTATTAAAATAAAACCACTGGAAGCCCTTTTTCCACCCTCTCCTCCTGCTGCCCCAGGCTGCTCACCCAGCTGCACATGCAAAGCAGCACGAGTCAGCAGTGCTTGCTGTACTGTGGAGAAGAAAGAAAAAGAAAATCAAGAGCTGCAGTGTTGCAGTTTTCCTGTGGAAATGGAGACTAAGGAACTTCACTCTGATTTTACCTGACCTCTGAGTCCCAAGGGCTCACAGACACACAGCGAATGCATTGACTGCCGACAATGTACAGAGCAGAGCTGCACTGGATAAAATATTTACATCTTCCATTTCATCACTGGATCGTACCTGAAATGATGCATGGTTAAACCTCCTCCTGAGCCCCCCTGCCAAACTGGCCCTGCCTGGCCTTAGCAGATCAGCAACAGCAGAAACAAGATGCTTAGACATATTTTCATATGTCCACATATGTTTCTTTTTCTCCCTTCTATAAAGGCAGAAAGAAGAAATGCAAAGGGAAATCTAGCTGAAGTAACCTGCCCGGTTCCCAGCTTGGGCACCACCAGGGCTGAGACGCAGTGACTATTTTAAGATACAGGAAGGCTGACAACCTTCAAATGTCAGCATTTAGCAGTGGGCAGTATTTCAAATACTTACACAGCCATGTCCCTTTCTGAGGAATTGCAGACATTAGGGCTTTTTACACCAGAACTGTTGTACAGAAGAGGAAGTGCTATCAAGAAGGGGCTGAACACTTCCCTCACTCACCCAAGTCAGGATGCCAAGCTCTGAGGATCACTACTGTAATTTCTGAACAAAATGGTATATTCAAGGACCTAAAATAAACCACAGGCAAGACTGGAGATAACAATGCTTTATTTGTACATTTCAGCAACAGGAGAAATAATAGAAGATGAAATTATCTGCTTTGTTGTAAAGTATAAAAACATTTAATTATAAATATTTAGCTAAAAAAAGCGTGATTTATAAAATATAATCTGTGAAGATATATACACAGTTTACTTGTTTAGCAATTCTTTCACCTGACATTAAAGAGTAGAGGTTTTTTTCTATTTATTATTCCACGCTCACAGTTTAGTGCTCACAGTTTAAGAAGCAAAACAGACAAGTGAAAAGACAACTGCCGAGTTTTGTTCTGGAAAGGAAAAAAAAAATTAAAAAAATGCACTAACTGGGGCAATAGCAGAGGCAGAATTTGAGCAAATCCATGTTTTGAGAGAGGTCTCTGAGGGAACACAGCTCCCCTGCCATGACCTAAAGTGTATATATCCAGACAACCAGTGGGCACTTTAACATTTGTGGGCAAGTTTCCTGTGTTTGCAAAAGAAAATTGCTAATAACATAGTGCAAACCCTCCGAATTCAGTTCAGCTAAACATGATCACCTCATTGCTCTTCCCTTCTTCAGCAGGGATTGCTCAGTATGCTGGGCTGGTGTTGTCTGTCATGGCTCTAACAAAATCAAATAACATCACCTGCATGATTCAGGATATGAGCAAATTTCCAAATAGAAAACCCCAGTGTGCCATCTGATTGCATTGTCCAGCTGGCAATATCTCTTAAAAACAGATACAGCTGCCTAAGGCTGGAAAATACAGTGGAGCTGTACAGCTCCACTAAATGTGATGGAATGTGAAAGAAGATACATGGTCAGACAACTCAGTTTTCTATTCCTCGTTTAAGACAGAGCCAGCTTCCTCCCTTTGAAGTCTTGGGAAATCTCGCCTCTTATTGAAAGGTTTGTTACTATGGCACTTCAGAGAAGAAAAACTGGAAGACTCTCCAACACGCTGAGTGGCAGAAAATGCTACAGAAAGTGATAATTAATTTGATCCACGACCCTAGTAACTATCTTTCTCTCTTCACAGTGTTTTCACAGTGCCTGTGGCATGGGGCTTTGAGGAAGAAGAGGGAGTCAAGGATGCGTGACAACACCCAACAGCAGTACAAACGTACAGGAAGTCAAGCTGTACTTTGTACACCCTGATTTACACAAGACCTCACTACTTGCCTGCAAGCAAGGAATGAATTAATATGGGGTTAAGAGAAAAAGGATTTACAGAAAAGAAGGAAAGAATGAAGTAGGCAAACATGACACTTGTCACTGCTCACCCATGATTTGCTACCTGCTGTTTCTGCTTCAGGATGATGTGTTCCTGACAGTTCAGAGCAAACAGCACGTACACAGCTCTTGTGATTCACATCATTATGAAAGCATAGTAACTGCAAGAGTTGTGCCCTTAGAAACTCAGGAGGATCTTCAGGAGAAGAAGGCTAGCGAAGCTGTGAGGAGTTTTAGGCAGGATCCAGGCAGTTCTCTCCAGGTAGAGCCCTGATCTGGGAAAGGTACCAAGTCATGTGCAATCTCAGAGTGCATATTGGCTGCTTGGTTACTGGGTAAATGCAGACTTTAACTCCCTGAAAGCTGCTCGGCGGTGTTTCCTTTCCTCCTCTTCACGCTTTCGCTCATCCTGCTCAGCTTTTATCTCTGCTTCAAACTTACTGGCTGAAGAGAGGGCTTGAACCTTTATAAGAGAGAGAGAAAGAAAATAGAAGAGCGTCAGGCCTTGCATCAGAGGGAGAGCCAGAGCCTGAACTACTCCCAGATGACAATGCAGAACTGTTTGCTGGACCTCCCTCTGCCTGCTGGGAAGCAATGTCAGGATGGGTCAAGTATTAATTACACTGCGGTGCTTGGGTATTTACACCCAACACCTCTTAGCTTCCTTGACTTTAACATCAACAAAAGAAAGGTCATTTACTAATAAGTCACTAACAAGTGACCCAGACAGTGTCGTCAGTAGTGGGTCACATATATTCTTTCTGTAAGCAGGCAGCATAGCATAAGTTGTGAGTATACAGTGAGAGAAACTACTGCAGAAAACAGTTCTGAATCACAGCCAAATCTGAGAACATCATACTACACCACAGATAATCTGCAGATCAAAGAGACATTGTTTATTCACTGGCTATTTTTCCAGCTTTCATCTCAGTACATCTGCTGTGCAATAGCTGTGTTATGCTCTTGGGAAAAAACTTCTTATATAAACAAGCAGGATTATTTTCTCTCCAAGAGAGCTTTCAAAAAGGGTGCTTTGTCAGCTTCAAATGGTGCAAAGCTCTTTCTGCCAACCCTGGGACCCTACAGAATAATTTTGATTCCAAAGGTTACAGAGAGCTGCTTGAGAAAGAGATGTCTGAAATCGTATACTCCAAAATACGCCATTCACCACTGAACTCAGAGTGTTCTGGCTGAGGGAGGTTTTGCTAAATGGGAAACTTGGTCCCCATTGCATTAGTTTCCAGGATGCTTTTGTCTTTAAAAGCAGCCAGCCAGCTAGTCCCATAGAGCTCCCAGCCACAGGGACACAGGTTAGCCAGTCAGCTCTACCAGGGTAAGACCCACAGCAGAGATGGTGAATTAAGCTGTTCTAGTCTTGATTGATCTGCAGAGGAAGGCTGTAGCTAAAGTCCCACAAAGTTTGAAGGGAAAAGCTATGGCTGAGTTGGGGCAGGGAGGGGCATGAAATACGCATCCTTTTAGCTAGGGAGAAATCTGGCAGTATCTTCTACTGAAAAGCAAGCAGGGTCTGTGTCTCAGTGGCAATTAAGGCCTGTGTGCAGAGCTTTTTCATGTTCCTCTGTGCCACACCATACCTTGGCTTCAAAGAAGTTCTTGGCTCCTTTGACTCCCTCAATAGAGACATCTATCTCTGAGAGCTTCGCAAGGGTCAACAGGCCGCTGTCCTCCTCGAGTTCACCAGCTGCAGCCTTATGGAAAATCAGCAGGAACTAGCAAGAGAGAGAGGAAACATTCAAGTTGCTCACTGAGGCTCAAACAACTCAAAATGCAAACAGCGCAGACATTTGCCTGGAGGGGACTGGAATTTATATTTCTGTTGAATGTTTCTGAGGAAACCAGATCTATATAACAAGTGGCAGCACAAAACTTGTGTTCCAGTGCCCTGGCTCCAGTACACAGCCCTGCTAGCCTACAAGAGGTACAGATCTCATAGAAAAAGAGGGTTTCCTGGGGAGAAGAGCTCTGGTGAAGCACAGCTCCTACCAAGCCCGGGCTGCTACATGGCCAGAGGTAGGCAGCCACCTCTCCACCTGCCTAGTACAACAGTATGGTAGGCTCAGATATACCTCTTTATGTCCCCACAGCCTAATGGTGTATTCACAAGTTCCCCACCAGCTTCTCCAGTGTTCTGGGGGCTCAGATCACACCCCGTGACAATGAAAGCAGGGCAAAGATGGCCCTGGCTTACACCTGAACCCCAGGCTCTACAAACCGAGGTGCCAGTGCACTCCTGTTCGAAAGAACAGCAGCCCAGGTGTGTGCATGCCCTGGGATAGAGTGGCTCAAACAAGCATCCACAGAGCAACTTGTTTTGAAGCCTTTGTCCTGCACTGGACCACAGACATTTTACAAATCTGGATGGAGTCACTACAGCAGAGTGCATATTGGCAAGTGAATTCCAAAGGCAAACAAACAAAGAGCCTGTATTACACTCCAGGAAAGCACACTTTTGTTTTTACAAAAGGGACAAAACCTGCCTACATAAACACCTCTGCACCACCTTCCACCTGCTAACCAAACTCCTGGTTAAGATGTGGATGTTCTATGCATAATTTGAGAGGTCCTGTAACTCCCTGCTATTCTTGGCCACCCCAGGAGGTGTCTCAACGCTTGGAACAGTGTGGAAAGAACAGAGACAGGGACAAGTCACCCGGGTACAAAAGGAGCACAAGCAACAAAGTTGCAGCACTGCACCACTTCAGTCCAGTGCAGAGGGCTGCACATACCACGCAGGGTTGCCTAGAGATCCATTTGCACAGGAATATCAAATACCTCTAGTGCTGTGCTCCTCAGACTACCAGGCTTTGGACTTTGCTACTTCCTACGGAGAGCCCGAGCTATCCCAGAGGAGGGCAGCAGAGCCCCAGCATCTGCACTGAGCCAGCCCCTGAAGTGCTCGCCTGCTTCAAGTTGCTCGCAGAAGCTGGTGGAGACGCAGAGTTTGGGAAAGCCTCCCATGGGGAAGGGTGTGGAGATGACAGCAGCGCTGGCTGCCCTTTCACAGAGGCAGTACCACCAGGCATTGCTTCATGCAACTGTCTTGTAACCCACATGTGGTCAGCACAGAGCAGCCAGAAACCCGGCTGTGCTTGGGAAGGGAACTTCTACCCCTCCAAACATATGTAAGAAATTAAATGATGCTCTGCTTAACAGGCAGAACATCCTGCTCAAAAAGAAACCAAATTCTCCCCAAGACATCCTCTCCCTCTGCTCAGATCCGCTGGGCTCAGGCTAGTTCCTCCCCTCCTCCACCAGCGGGCATGGAGACACAGAGGGCTGGCAGCCAGGCTGGCATTAGTCATGGTTCCTCCTCACAGTTTCTGCTCCACCCTGTGGGTCCTGCTTCCGGGCATCGGAAAAGGGCAGCGGAGGCAGCACAATCCTGAGGTCTGGTACAGCTGTCGCCCAGGGAGGGACTGGAGACACCCAGTCATGAGTACAAGTGTGCATGAATCATCCTGAAACTAGGGGATGGGCAGCAATCCTCCAGTGGAATATGGGCTGCCCCAGCCAGGAAGGGCAGGCTGTGTTAAAGGAAACCAGGGACTAAGCCATCAGTTGTGGCAGACACTGCATAACATCAGTGAGGTGGACTACAGGGCACCATGCTGGTTTCCACAGGAGCTCAGGAGCAATCCTTCCTCGCATGTCAGAGCACTGCCTGCAGCTCACCTCATCAGTTGTTTGCCCTCGAGGCATCAGTCCTTACTAACTAGAGAACACCAGCAATCGTCATTCAGCTCCCATTCCCAGCCTGTCTCACACTCTTGCTGGGCCCAGGACACATCACATGCAGCTAAGCCTCAGGGAAATGTCAATAGAGAAGCAAAAGTGAATAATGTTGGTACCTTTAAAAGCTGTGCTCTCAAGGACAAGGTGACACACACTTTCCACCCCACTAACCTCAGAAGAGATAAGAGATGTATCTGCTCTCACATCCTTCCTTCATGATCCAAGACCTACCCCACCGTACCAGGTCTCAGAGCGATGCTGCAGTTACACAGTCCCACTGGGCACCGTGCTGGCCTCAGGGATGCGAGGGAAGGTACAGGATTGACCAGCAGCAGCAGCCTTGCAACAGCTAGCCAGAAAAGCAGAGCCACCCAAGGCTGTGGTTTGCACCAAGCCTGCTTGCAAACACATGATGTGGGTCAGCATTTAAGCTGGTGCAGGCGTGGGGGGCAGTGGGTGGATTTTTATGGCTTCTAGATAGCAGCTACAGTTAGACATTACTACGATAGCAACTAACTCTGGTTTCCTGTGGTAATGATGGAATTAGACAAAGGTGGTTTTTTTCCCCCCCTCACTGTACCTAACATTTTTAAGCCTAAATTTCTTTGCTTGAGTCACAGAGGGAGCCTTGTGTAGTTAATTGTTGATGTATTGATGGACACTCAAAGGTCAGTGGTAGAAGGCAGCCCTCCTAACAGGGCCAGCAGTTCACCAGCAGCAAGTCAGAGCCATATGAGCCTGCTTTCCAGGCAACAGCTTACCTGGGATGGGAGGACATGACACTACTCAAAGCAGCAGCAAAAGGTGACCTATTACAAGTGAAAGAGGTCCTTGCCAATTCTCTGGCCAGGCCACAAGAAGCAAATCTTCAGGCAGGTATGTCAGGACTTGTTATTCTCTGGAGAGGCAGACAGGAGCCCTCAAGTGCTCGACTCACACCCTGGTGAGTTCAGACACTCATTTAAACCAGGGTTTCTCCTTGTGTTGTCAGAATACTCCAAATCACCTTGGTCACCCTCCATGTGCTTGCTTGTCACCACCAATGGGAAGCAGAGTGGGACAGCGCTACGGGCTAGTTCGGACCTCCTCACCCACCAGGAAACCTGCCTCCCTGCCAGTCCTCTGCCCGAACAGCAGCTGGACACAGCACATCTGCAACAAGGCAGGAAGCATCCTGCTCCTCTCTACCATGGAAAGCTTTGGGTACATGCCAAAGCTGCCATGTAATTTGTCCCCAGAGCTCTGTCAGTGATGCTCCCTCATTCCAACCCATGTGCCACTCAAGCTTGTGTTTGACCATCGTTTTGCATCTGGAGAGAAGCTACAACAGCACCAGCTGCCGTGTGCTGCATGCCAAGGGCTGGCAGCACAGGCAGCCCGTGCCAGCTGATGGGCAGCGGTGCAGGGGGCTGTGCTCCAAACAGGTGGCAGCAAAAGAGGAGCTGTTCTGGCACTGGTGCCAGGACATCACAGCACCTTCCAGAGCCTGGAGGATAAAGGCACTTCTCTTTCACAGGAGATAGCCTCTGCAGCAAGCCCAGAGGCTGTCCCCAGCTCTTCACCCAGGGTGAAGGGTGGCCCAGGAGGCACGAAGAGAAACAGAGGGCTCCTCCAGCCCACGCAGTGATTTGGCAATCACCATCTGACCTGGGGCCAAGAGCACAGTAATCTTCCTGCTCCGCCAGATTCTTTGCTACCCCCAGTTCACCTCTGACTGGGCACGTCTCCTTCCCTGCCCAGAGGAGCTACCAGCTTAGGGCTTTGCTGGTGTGAACAGACAGGCTCTCGCTTCCCAGATTTACATGTCTTTCCCCCTCCTCTCTAAAGGCTGGGTGCTGTAACCCAACAGTCTTTGGCCTCTGTCTTCTACTGCTGCCCTCTTACAGCAAAAGAAATGCAACAAAACCCTTGGGAGACAAAAGCAGGGGAAGATGGTGTGACATGCCAGCACAGAGAGATGGTACAGCAGCTCTGTGACCTGTCAGTCACCCCTCACACCCCAACCAGCCCAGCCAGTCATGGGCAGGCCCTGGCTGCTCATCCTCCCTCCCAGGCACTACATTTCCATAATGAAGACCTCAATGTCCTGAGCTGTGGAGAGCTCTGCACGTTTTCTCCATAACCAAACCCCCACCCTGGAGGAGGCATGGTGAGAGCACAGCCCCTGCAGAAACTAGGGAGCCCAGCTGCTCAGGGCACATCACTGCCATCCCCTGGGGCAGGAGGAGGCAGGACAGGAGCACAGCCCTCACAACCGGTGCAGGACACAAGCAGCAATAGCCCTCCTGCTGCCGAAGAGGCTGTTGGTTAATTCAGAAAGCCACAGTATGACATATGCTTCTGAGACAGCAATCAAAGCCTGGGACAAGGAGACGATGCAACAAGAGGTTTTGGTATCTGGGCTCCCCCTTCCTGCTGAGATGAGTTGCATACCCTTGAGTGCCTACAGGTCACTGCTCAAATTCCCTCTCTTCCTCCACCCAGCAGCAGTTCCTGGCCTGCCCACGCTGCTCCCAGTGGTCTCAGCACAGTGGTGACAGACAGATCTGTTTGCTGTGTGTCCCTGCTGAGCCAGCATGCAGTACCAAACTGCTGCATTACATCATTTATTCCTTGCTGCAGGGAGGTGACCACCCCTCATGAAGCTCGCTGTGGCTGGTCACTGCATGATGCAGAGAGGGACCCAACATAAACTGGAAGAGGCAGCCTCCTGCACCCCATGAGATGAGTTGCTCTGAGCAGAACCCTTGCCCTGCACCTGAAATGAGGCCTGAGCTGCTGTACTGCAGGAGCCCAGCAATGAGACCTTGTGACTGAAGGGACATGCCACCTCCAGCTACAGCAAGGAGTTCTGGCAGCACTCCCAGGCAGCTACAGCAGGGCTCAAATGTGCTCCCAAAGCAAACAGGAGGTTGGAGAGCTTTAGCATCAGGTACCATTACTGCCACATGGCGATGGATGTTGACACAGCTCCACACCTTGAGTTCCCCATGGCATGGGGAAGCTTGCCTCCTTCTCCACTGCACCCCACAGCTGCAGAAACAAAGAGGGGACAGGGCTACCTACAGCCAGACTACAGGGCCTGGCTGCCTCCTCCCTCCACCCCACAGCCACATCCCTGTCTGCTCCTGCAGCCACCCTCACCTCACGGAAGCTGAGCTTCCCATCAAAATCTTCATCCACCTCTTTGATCATGTTCTTCAGACCCAGGTGGGTCTGGGGGGCTCCCAGCTTTTCCATCATCAGCTTCAGCTCCATCAGGTCAATGTACCCATCCCGTCCTGAGTCATACCTGTGGGTTGCAAAGGGGAAAGGGTCAGCACTCGTCATCCCCCATATCCATCTTCCCAGAAGAGGAACCATGCAAATGGATAAAGTCACAGGGTGGTTCAAAGCTTGGGGGAGAAGGGAAGCTATATTAAGCTCAGGGAAGTAGCTTGCAGCTTTCAGAGCTGTCTCATCAGAGAGAGAAGTGCTCAGGGGAGCTCAGACCAAACCACCCACACAGAAGGAACATGGAGGAACTCAGCTTACCTCAGTGGGATTTCCATCTCGCCCACTTGTGTGCCCAGCACACAGTTTACACCATGCACTGGCACAGTGAGGCAAAGGCATGCCAGAGCCAGCTGCTGCCATGTCTCCTGCTCGTTTCAAGGAAAAACAGGGAGCAGAGACGAACCAGAACCTCCCAGCAGAAAGCAGCTATCTTTCTTCATAAGCAAAACACACTCCCTCTAACTGTTAATTAAGATCTTTCCTCTCCAACATGGTTTTATACTACACAAACACTGTGCTTCAGGGCAGCTGTTTATTCAGTGTCCCCAGGCAGAGCAGAAAGGCAATCCCGGGGGACTGCTGGCAGAGGAAACCAGTGCCCACCTCTAGAAGCAAGACTGGAGTGGGACCACCCTCCCAATGGAACACAAAGGACTGCAAGGACTCCTTGCAGGAGGAGAGCGCACCCGTGCAAGGGGCAGAGTGCTTTAGGGATGGTGAGGTAGTGACCCACTGTGGTCAGTCTGGGACTCAGTCTGTGCACGAATTCCTCCCCTGACATCTGCTGCGGGTGAGAGTAAAGCATCCAGCCCACCCAGCAACCAGCCCTTCACACCCACCAGGGCCATCACCAGGTTTCAAAGTCCAAAGGCTGGAGGGATGGGTGCCCCACTGTCAGACAGCCCATTGACAGCCCTCCCTCATCCTGGTCCTGCCGTCAGGGTCCAGCACAGAGCTGGGGGCTCACATGGGAAGATGGGGCAGGGTCCACCAGGCTGGGCTCAGCCCCGGTGCACAGCCTGCCACTGCCTCCTTGCTTCCTGCCCCCCTTGCCACCATCTCAACCCTGACAAAGTTAAATCCTTTCAACCATTCAGAAAGAAAACCATAGGCACAGCACTGAAGCTTTCCCAGCTGGCAGGAGCTGGTCAAATCCTCTCGCCCATCATCTTTCATTGACTGTTAGCTCTCTTCCAAAGAAACAATGGCTGTAGCTGTCCCAGACAGAGATCTGCACAGTTGTGGTTACCCTGGAAGAAAGCCCTTTCCAGCTGAGAAGCCTCACAGCCGCAGAGGAAGCTGTGGCAGAGGAAGGCACGAACAAAGCCACAGGCCCCAAGCTGCTCACAGCCATGGGCAATGTGAGGCAGCGCTGCAGCCAAGAGCCTTGCCCCTGCCTTCACCAGCACAGGATGTTGCTCCCCCAAACTGGGGTAGCCTCCACAGCTTTCCAAAGACCTCCACAAGCAGCTTTTATGCTCTCTGTGCCTCCCTGTTTCCAAGGGTCCCAGGCCCATATGACCCCAAATGACAGGGACATCACCAGGCTGGCACGCAGCCCCTGCTACCAGTCTGCCTGCACTCTCTGCACCCCACAGACCTGTGAACCCACCAGGCCAGACAGCTCACTGAAAAACTAGGAAAGAAACCTCTGCTACATCAGAAACCAGGTCACAGACCGAAGACATCACGGGGCAGAAAAGCAGTGCGTTCATCACAGCAAGGAAGGTGTCAGTTAATTAAGGCACACATTCACAGCATTACCCAGCCCAGCTCAGAGATGCACTTTCAAGACCTCACAGAAGTGTAATAAGTGCAATATTTAATTGTCAATTTGATTTTCCTTTAAGTTTGGGAGAACGGATGTGGAAGTATTCCTCCAGAGTAAGGCAATTGGAGAGGCAGTGCCTTTGATCAGATAAAGCAGCAAAGCATATTGTGGCAGGGAGGCACTTGGGATTGGGGGTTTTTTTTTGGGTCCCAGCAAGCTCACACTGCCCTTTGGCTGGGTGCAGAAGCAGGACTACACTGAGGCCCCCACCAAGGGCTGCCCATCCAGGGTCAGGACACTTCTCAGCCCCTCTCGGAGGCATTGGATAATGGAGATGAATGCAGAAGAAGGGCACATGCCCAGCCCGTGCCTGCCATGTTCATCTCACCCTTCTGCTATGGACGCTACCCGCAGGCAAACACCATCCCTTCATGCCTGCCCCAGCCCTAAGCCCAGGGGTAAATGCACCGTCTCAAAAGGGTTAAGCATGGGGCACAGCCTCAGGGCTTGTCATCCCTGCAGAGAGGCAGCACAAAGCCAGGATTGCGAGAAATGGGGTCTTGCCAGTGGCGGGCCACCACAGCAGAGCAGCACGCTGTACCAGTCACACAATAGGTGTTGAGCACGCCAGGCCAGGATAAAGCTAGTGCGACCAAGATGCACCCCGAAATAGGGTTACCAGTCCCTTGCAATCGGGGACAGACAGAGGGACATTGAAGCCCCTGGATGCTCAGTGCCCATCCTGCAGAGCAACAGCAGCACCCTGCAAACTGCTGCATTTCCTCCCTGTCCCCCTTGCCTCCTAGAACAGCCCAAGTATTTTAGGACCTGTGTACAGCCACTTGGCTGCCACAGAGCCACGTAGCCAGACTATTTAGGGAGAGGCATATTTATAGGGCATGAGAGAAGGCGCAATTCATTCCCCATCACCCCCCTGCAGGCACAGGCACTCAGTGCAATGGGGCATGGTGTGGGCTGCACGTTGTTGGCCAGCCAATGCTCCCAGCACACTTAGCCCTACCAAAAACCCCACTGTCTGCCTTTTGGGAGCTCCCTTTCAGGGCCCAGGGCTCCAGCCAGCCCCTGATACCACTCACACCCATTTCACTGCCTGCAGAGCAGCTCTGTCATGGTGATGGACACCAGTGAGCCCTAACAGGCAGCAAAGGCAGAGCTGGAGGAGGGCACCAGGGCAAGTTTGGTCCCCAAATGCATCCCAGGGAGCCGTCCCATCCTGTACTCCAGAAGTGGCACAGCAAGAGTATGCAGTACTCAGGTGCCTTGCCAGCCCTCTCAGCCCCCGCTCCTGTCACCCGCTGTCCTGCCATGACACTGGAGATTTGCTTCTTTCGGACTCAGAGCTCCCCGGGGCCGCAAGCCAAACATCACCCCAGTGATGCGCAGGCATTGCAGACAGAGGGGCTCTCATGCTGATGGGCAAAGATATCTCACATTGCAGGCAGACAGGCAACTCCAGCAGCAAGTCAGTGCCATGGTGGGTCCCCACCTGCAACGGCTGGGACACCACAGGCAGCCATGAGCACCACGGCTGACGTGATAAGGTTTTGCAGTGCCGCCGCAGCAGTGTTCCTGGCAGCAGATGAGACATAGGCAGTGGCTGCCAAAATCTGCTGCAACAAGGATGCGCCCAGATTCCCACGCTGGCTCACTTCCACCCAGGCTGCAGAGCGTGCCTGGCTGCTGAAACACTGGGGGAGGAAAGCCAGAGGTGAAACTGGGGAGGGGGAAGAGGGAATACTTGCTGAACAGACTTGCTTAAGAGCAAGAAGTGCGTTACACATGATTTCTGCCCAAGTACAATCATTGTAATGGTGTTACACAGCACAGCTGGGGGTTAGTTACACCACAAAAGAAAGAAGTGCCAAGAAGGGAGGAAAAAGGAGATGCTGAGGACTGCATCACCTGTACCAACTCTGCAGTCACCTTCCCAGCTGCCTGAAAAAAAAAAACAAGGGGGGGGAAGGATAGTTGAATAAGAAATCCCAAATCCTGAAGGATCAAAGAGCAGTTTATAAACATTCATGGCTCTTGAGAACGGCTGGAAAGAAAACCTGCCCTCCCTGTACATGTTTGCTGTACCTGAGCTTGCTCCACACACTGTGGGCACCTGGACTTTGATCTGCAACTCCTGCATGCTGCAATGGCCTAAAACAGGCTTTGAAATAAAGCAGTCGGACTAATGGTGCTGAAGTAGTAATAATCTCCTCTTAAATATTTCAAAATCCTTTCTAAGTAGTACTTTATTCCCTCTGAGCATTGTGTTTCACCTTACATGGAGAGGGAGGTGCTGATCTCTTCTCCCTGGTATCCAGTGATAGGACACATGGGAACAGTTCAACGCTGTGCCAGGGGAGGGTCAGACTGCACACGAGGAAGCATTTCTTTACCAAGAGGGTGGTCAAACTCTGGAACAGGATTCCTGGAGAGGTGGTCGATGACACAAGCCTGTCAGTGTTTAAGAGGCATTTGGACAATGCCCTTAACAAGCTTTAACTTTTGGTCAGCCCTGAAGTGGTCAGGCAGTTGGACTAGATGTGGTCATTTTAGGTCCCTTCCAACTGAAATATTCTAATCTGTTGCCGAGAGCTTTGGAAACAATTCCTCCCTACCGGGGTGGGGACAGGAACAGGCTCCTCAGCCCTGTGCAGCTCCATCCTTCCCAGGCCAGGCAGCAGGAGCTCTCCTGCTCCTGGAGGGACACATGATGGCAAGACAAAAGTCTCCTCCAGCAAGATTTCCTCTGAGATGTTGGGCAAGACCTCGAGGCACAGAAGCCTGCAGGGCCCAGGCTGGGTGCTGGGCACCTGGGGTGGCTGAGTCCCCATAGGGATGACCTCCCTGAGACCACTGGGACTCCAGAGGCAGCTGGTCACAGACCACAGGTCACACTGGGAGCACGGCAGTCCTGGAACAAGCAGGTCTGCTGCAGCACATCTGACACATCCCTTGGTACAGGGACACCTGGCAAGGGGCTCCCAAGTGGCTCCAGGAGGGCAAGGAGACATCACAGCCTCTCCCACCAGCCAGGCACAAGGTACTCATGAAACACATGGGCAACATGTGAAATACCCTAAATACAAAAGCAATAGCAAGGCTGGAATTTCTCCACTCCCTCACACTGTGCAGATGAAGCCGATGGTTGTTCTCCTCCCCCCTACCGCCCTCAGAAAGGTCACTCCTGCCAGGCACAGCCTCACAGCCTGGCTTTCACACCCCCCTCTGCCATTTCCCTGGACAAGATGGCACCAAGGGGAGCTGTGAGACTCCAGAGCTCCTGAGGGTTTGCTCACAAGACTTGGGGAAGGGAGGTTATCATGGTTACCACAGTCCTCACACATTGTCAGAATAGGCAGCTAATTAGGTCACATTATAATTAGCCTGAGCTGCAGACTTCCTGGTCCCTCTGCCAAAAAAAAAAACAACCCATCCCGAGAGCTGCCTGCACCCAAGCAGCCCCCACAGGCTCCTGCACAGCCCCAGCTCCCGCAGCAGATACCCACACACCATCTCCAGGGGAATGGGGCCAAAATGGGGGGATGCTGCCAAGAGGAGGCTTGGACAAGAGGGGGAAAAGTGAGCCCAACCATGACAGCAGGAGCATCATTTCTATTTTGGAAGGATGCTCCCAGCAGCACACAGCACCTGGATGGAGCACTGGATTTTGGGAAGTCCCATGTTCATATAAGCCCTTTGCTTCCACCCTGGCACAGGGTGGTCACAGCCACCAGCCATACCATGGGACGCCCTGACAGACACCACAGCAGCCGCTATCGCCAGCAACTCCCTCTTCTCAGCTGGAGCACCCTTACCCAGCCCACACCATGCCCAGGTCCCACAGGCTCAAGTTTAGTCCGAATAACAGATTTACAGGTCCCACTGAACTGGTAAGAAACACTTGCGGATGGGAAGTCTGACAGCAGAACCCTGGCAAACTGTGACAGTGAGAAGACAAATCCTTGTCTGTCAAAGGCTTATTTTTTACCATTAGTAAGAAAGACCCCGGGTTATGGTGCCCAGGGCCAATAAGCCATACAGAGAATAAAAGCCTTAATCACATTAACTCAAGCTCTGACTGGCAGGAATTAAGGGGAACATTTCCTCTCCTCCCTGGATCACGTGGCATTGGCCAGTACTTGAAACTGGTCACTGAGAGCAGATGGAGCAAAGACCAGATCCTCTGCCACCACTAACATCAGGTGCCTGTAACAGAGTGAAAACCAGGACAGGGTTTTCCATCCACCTGTCCGAGAAGCACAGGAGAGCACGGGGAGTGCAAGCCCAGCTTCTGCCCCTTTTGGCATGACTGGCTGGTGCTCAGCTGCTGTAGTCCTCACAGGGCACACAATGTTTTCCAGCTACATTGACCAGCTGATTAGCATTCAACAGCAAAGCCTAGGTTTCCCGCTTACAAGGCCAGCATTTAATGAACTCATTGTTGAAAAATTCAGCTGCAATTCAGCTCTTCTACTTTCTATTTCCCAAACCACCACTGTTCCTTTTCTTATCCCTACTGAGGCAGTGCCGCTGCCCACTTCGGGCTCTTGCCCACAGCTTTTGAACACTACAGCTGCCAGCGTGGTTTGTCCTTCTGCCCTCGCAGCACCATGTCTCAGCCCTTTGCAGAGTGGGATCCCCTTTAACTGTCATCAAAAGGGGCACAGCAGCGAGCGGAACAGCATTCTCACCCAGACCACCTCCCTTCCTGTGCCCAGCTGCCGACACAACGCTGCCCACCCAACAAAGAACTCTGGTGAGCTCACAAAAGCCCATTGCCTTGTCTCCCACAGTAACAGCCCTGGCTGGGGCTAGCAACACCCTGCAGCATCAGGAGGTGGAAATGTTCAACCAGGCTCTCAGTCTCCTCGCAATGACCCCAGCCTCCAGGGTGCCCAAGGCAGCTTCCAGGTAGGAAGTTGAGGACCTAGCAAGTTACAAACCCTGCTGCGGTCACCTCTGTGAGCTGAAGAAGATCTCTGTGCCTTGCCGTGACAGCCCATGTAGCACCTCTGTGGCACTGCCTCCTCGTGCCTGGCAGCAGCTCACTCCCAGTCTGGCAGCCCTGCCTGCCTGCGGCCAGCTGGCTCATGCAGCTGCCTGCCCAACCCCTCTCCTTGGGGCTGGGAGAACATCAGTCCCCAGGAGCACAAGGTTTTGTGGTGCTGGAAGGAAACCTGAGCACAGGTAACCAAAGCTACCCAGGCACAGCCCAACTGCAGGAGCCAGGACAGAACTCATGGGGGAGAGACGCAGGCTGGATCTTGGCCCCAAGAAGGGCCAAGCCTTTCTGCTTACAGCAGCAGCTCTCCACATTGCCACCAGCAGCTTGACTTTAATACAAACCTTCCTGCTGGGAATCCCGGCCCCCAGGAAGGGGGAAGCAAGAGGAAGCTGTGCTCAAGCTTTGTTTGGGTGCATGAGAAGGAGCAAGCACAAGGCCTGGCAAACAGAACCCTGGATGGAGATCCAGCACTGCCTGCCAGTGCCAGCAAAGCTGCTGGGGATGTTCGGGGTCCCAGTGGCTGCAGGCAGATGCCCTGGGATGCCTGCAAGGCCCCAGGACCCAGACCCACCAGGTGCCACAGGGTGTGGGGCAGCAGCACCTGTGCTCTCCCAACCCCCTGTCCCACCCAAAGAATCCCCCAAAGCCACAGCTCGTGGGTGCCACCACAAACAGCCATCGTCCTGAACCCGGGTAGAGCAGAGGCAAGCCCAGGCCGTGATCTAAGCGCGGGACTGAGCCCCAGCTCCGGGTCAGAGACAAACCCTACAAACCTCCTCCCCCCGCCCCCCGCCAAACACACAGGGACAATATCAGGATCAAATGGCGCTGGTAACCCGCCGCAGCTTCTTCCAGCCCGACCGCAAAACCGCGGAAAAATGCAAACATCTCGCCAAGAGCAAACAGGCTCTCTCCAGATGTCCCCCCCGGGGAAAAGCTCGGGGAGTGTTTGCGAAGGAAAAGCAGAGCCCAAAACCCGTCTCCCCCCTCCCCGGGGGGCGAACCCCCGCTCCCACCCCACTCACAGGCGGAACATGCGCTCCATGTCCTTGATCTGCCGGCGGCTGAACTCCTTGAACTCGGTGTAGGGGTTGAAGACGGCGGCCCGCCGGGGCTGCGCTGCCCCCTCGTTGATGTCCTGCCGCCGGCAGAGCTTGGCGCTCAGCTCCGCGCCCGCGCTGGCCGTCAGGCAGCTCCGCTCCGCCTCGTCCCCGGCCGCCTCCTCGCCCCTGCCAGCCGTCCCCGGCGCCGCCTCGCCCTCCACTGCCGCCCCGCTCTCCTCCAACTGCAACCGCCGTTGCAGCTTCTGCGCCAGCTCCTCCGAGGCCATGGCCCGGAGCTGCCCGGCCACTGCGACTTCCTACCCCGCTCGGCTCCGCTCCAGCCGAACTCGCCTGTCCCGGCCCGCAACTTTATTCCCTCACTCAAAGGGAGCGGAGCGGAGCGGGGCGGGGCGGGGCGGGG